TTAGATTTATTAGATATAATCCTATTATGATGATATACCACTACATGCACCATATATGCGATTATGATGAACAACTTCCACGAACAATGATTATGTGGCACAAATCTCTCCATAACATTCAGATCAACAACGGACAATTCTGTGTACGACGTCTCTATGATAGATATGATATCCATGCTGCAACACACGAGAGACGAGACCACGACTAACGGGTTTCCATGCGACACTTTCTACCTCCGATAATCCTATTAGTGGCAATATGTTAGGTATTCAAAAATCTTTTAACCAAATCAAATATTTTTATATCCCAATGAGAGAATTTAAATTACTAAAGTACTCATGCTTAAATAATTTGCGGGATGAAATGATTATTAAATAAATGCTTTGTAGTTTTAGTTATAAACTTAATTGTATTATTTTCCAAAATTCGAAAGTTGTATGTGCTACAAATTTGTAACATAATTTTCTTTCTATCATATTCAAGTTAGCAATGTTTCGTATTGGAATTCGTTTTATCCGTAAAATAATTAAAAACGATAATTTTTTCTAACTTAAATAACAAACAATCATATACATCTTTGTGAGGAGTTCATCATAAATGTTATATAACAAATGTTATATATCACTTATTTTGTAAGTATATATGTTTTTGTTAATTTATTACCTTTGTTAATTTTTGATACGTTAAATATTGAAAAGAAATATGTATAAACAACAATAATAGTAAAATCTGTAAATATTTTATGAAAGTTCGACAATAAATTAAATGGGCTAAGAAACTCTCTAGTAATGACACATTAGAATGATATTTTCGTTAATCACACGTGGAAATAATATTAGTTTTAAAAGTGTCTCTCAATTAATATATGTTTTCATTTTTAATACTGTTCAATTTATATATAATTTTTATTTATAAAAGACAGATTTATATTGCTCATGAAAAATACCAAGTAATGTATCATACCAATTATTCAGACACTTCTTCCTTCTCAAAAAGACTCTACGATGGCGGGATGGCAACATATATTGGATCACCATCACGTTCTGTTCGTGTCGTCCAGGATCATCGGAGAGCCTATTCTGGCGAGAATCTGCAGTATTGGGCGGCGGCTTCGATCATGTTCTTTGATCGGATATTAGGGTTTCTTCTCTTGGCCGTTATAATTTGGTTAGAGAACTGATGTCTAGTATTTTTCGTTGTTTTAAAGCCTCTTTTCTCTTAGTTTTCATTGCTTTGCATTCTTATTTTGGCATATAGTGTTGCATTTGCATTTGCATTTGGTTTTCTTAGGTACATGAGTGGAGTTTAGAGTTTTGGGAATAAATAGAGCAAAAAGAAAGCTATAAGAAGGCAAAATGAGTAATGAAGATCAAAGAGGGATCAAGAGGGGAAAGGAGATGTCAAGATGTGGTGAAGAAAGATGGTTCAAGAAGAGAAGAGGAAGCAATAGACCATCTGGTCGATTCCTTGGTTGATTGATATGGATCAGACCTACAGACAAGACAACGATCGATCAAGCAATCGACCGATCGTCTTAGGACAAACCAATTGACCAACTGGTCGATTCCTTGGTCGATTGGTACCATATCAGAGCTACGGACGATACTTCAATCGATCACTTGATCGATCGATTGCTCTACCCAATAAACTAAGCGGTCGATTGAGTGGTCGATAGGGGTGCCTAAACCGGGTCAAAACCCAGTTTGTTCTGGGTTGATCTGGTTGTAACACCCCGGTTTCAGGAATATGGTGATGCATGCAGAGAGGTTTAAAAGAATTGATTTGGCCACCTATGTCACCAAAGTGCACTTATCTTTTCGGTCAACTGTCCTGAGAGAACTCCACAGTTAAGCGTGCTTGGACTAGAGTAGTTTCAGGATGGGTGACCTTCCGGAAAGTAATTGTCGGAACTGTGTGAGTGAGGACAAAACACAGGGAAAGATCATGTGGTGATTTGTAGGGTTGGTAAACAAGTCTATAAAGCCTCCCGGACGTAACGTACCGGCCATCGGACAGGGGTGGGCCCATGGGCCCGAGAGATGACGTGGGGCCCACTGGTAGGGACGGTCGGGGCGTTACAGTTTTTCTCTTTTCTATATATACTCTTAACCTAGTTTTAGAAAGGTTATGCTTTGCTTAGAGATCAAAAACTTCTCTTAAGGTTTCTTTCTAAGTTTTTGTACGAATCTTTGGGTTGTTGAGTTTTGAATCCAAATATCTCTATTAAATCTCTTATCTACCTTCTCTAATTATGATTTCACAAAGATCAAACCTATTGCTTTGTGTAATCATGATCATGAGTGAGTAGTCATTTAGAGTTCTTGGGTTAAGGTAGATTAGGATGGTTTAGATGTTGGGTTATGGAGTTTAGGGGTAGATTACTTAAGATCCTTACTTATTGGTTGTTTATAAAGCTAGATTAGCCTTGATCATGTTGATTTAGACTTTAGGAATTTCATGCCCGGAAGGTGTTCGATGAAATTCCAAGAACCAAAACCTTTAAGTGCTTTACATTCCTTACCTTTGGAAATTCTTGACTAGGGTGTTAAGGCCATGTCCAATGGAACAGCAAAACATCATTTTGTCGTAGGAGTGTTTACTTTTTCACTCCAACCACACGTTATAATTTGCATTATAATAGTGAGATTCTCTTTTGTTGTACAGTATATCACTATATTTGGTGTATGACTGTAGCCACGGCAAATATTAAAATAATAGTTTTTTGTTTTGTTTTAGTATTATTATATATTAAGATAGTTTATTTAGTTAGTAGATAAGATATGATTTGTAAATTTGTAATATTGTTTAATAATCTAATTAAGGTTTGTAACTAAAAAAATAATTTGCATTAAATTAGTTTAATCTAATATTTTGTTACTTTAATAGTTTGCATTAAATTAGTTTAATTTAATAGTTTAATTAAATTATTTTCATTGTGTTACTTTATTTGCATTAAATTAGTTTAATCTAATATTTTGTTGTATAATATTTATTTTCAATACTATGTAATATTTTAATAATATCAATACATTAGTTTAATAATATAATAATAGAGAATATTATTTTTAGTGTGATATTTGGTGTTGTGGTTGGAGAAGGAAAAAGGTTTTAGTGTGAAAACTACACCAAATATAGTGTTATTTTAACACTAAAATGGTGCTATGGTTGGAGATGCCCTAAGTGGCTAGATAGACTTGTTTATAATGCTTGTTAGTCAATTGATTGCCTTTGGAAGAAGTTGATGATTAATTGATTAGTAAATGGACTAATGTCATGGAAATGTGTTAGTGTTGCTTAGTGTTCTATGGCCTAGGGATCGTTGCTTATTAGATGTTGTTTGAAGCTCCATAATCCACTTCTTTATCAAATCCTTTAACCCGAGAATTCGCTTTTAGTTATCGCTTAGTAGCTTGTTATTTTCCCCGCTTTGTTTACTTTCAAAACTTGTTAGTTTTTTGCATTTTACTTTCATTTGTCTTGTTTTGCATTGTTTAGTTTAAATTGCATTGTTAGTCAAATTTAGAAAAACCAAAACCATATTTATTAGCTTACATTAATTGAATGTGTGTATTCCTAGTATGTTGGTTCGTTGCTCCTTGAAGTTCGATATGTAATTGGGTAAAAGTACTACATCAAGAATCCGAACCGGGTTTAGGTTTTGGGTTGTTTTGTTTTTGGACTGATGTTTGTGGGTTAGCCTTTGGGATTTGTATGGACCTATATCTGGAAATAGTTCATTGGACAATTATTTATAAAAATCGAATACTTTTTTTAAAAAAAATTATTATTCAAATGTGTATGAGTTTTTTTTTCCTTTCAATGTGCTATTGATTTTTAACAATGACAATTTAGTCATAATCCAACAATATTCAAAAACTTGTCTGTTCTTGTAAGACTAACCTTTTGTGGGGATGCAAAGTTCTAGATTTAGACTTGTTCGGTAGAAGACTAGGTGGTTAAGATTAAGATTCGCGATTGTGGCTTTCTTTTCTTGGGATATTCGTTTTTAGTTGGGTTATTTCTTCGCGGTTTCCTCTATCCTTGGTTCTACTCCGTTTGCGGTTTTAGTTCTTCTAGTCTGCGCCTTTTGAGCTCTTAGTTCCGCGTCTATTGTTCTCCTCCGACTTTCCCGATGATTTCGAGAGCTTAACTTTTTGACTTTAGTCCTATCTTATGTTTCCCGTGTATCGGGCTTTAGCTTCCGGGGATATCTTTGTTTTCCGCCGGCTTTTTTATTTTAAAACCGTATTCCAAAAACGCATTCCACCCTTGTATACGTCCTTTGTATTATATAATGAAATCTTTCAGTGAAAAAAAAAAAAAAAAAAAAAAAAAAAGGAATTCACAAACTGATAACGTGTTGCATGGACCAAAGTCAAGCGTATGATTAAGGGTTCAGATGGAAAAAAATATCATGGTCGTGTCAATTTCCAAACGCGCTATTTTGACAATTTCAAAACGCGCTACAACAGATAAATTGCATTAGGGCTTTTTGTTTTCCTTTAACTCCCGGCTCAGAAAAATGTGGGACCTGCCCAATTAAAAATAACCTTTATATCTTAGATCATTTCCAATGTACTTCTTTATTTTTATCTCTATCTCTATAATAGAGATGAGTTTTCTCTATTTTTACTCCAATGTATACTTCTATTTCTTCCTCTAAATTTTTTTAACTCTATTTATAGAGGAAAAAATAGAGATCCTCTATATATAGAGCAAAAAATAGAGATATCTAATTTAGAGGTGAGAATAGAGGTGGATTGAAATATATTTGCCTCTATAATAGAGTTTAGAGACAAATATAGAGGTGGGTTGGAGATGCTCTTATACATTTGTTTAGATTTGGACCTTTTTTATATTTTCAAGAAAATAGGACCCTAATTGCTTTAAAAAATGACTTAAAAAAAGTGGATCCTGTACAAATGCACTGTTGGCACACCCTCTAAACCGGGCATGGCGGCCTGCCATAGATAAGCTCAATTATTTGAATTCAATACGTGATATTTGGATGCATTTCTAAGTTATGACATGTAGTGATCTCACCATGTGATTTCTAATTATTTATTCAGTTTTTTTTTTTGATAATAATTATTTGTTAAGTTGTTGTTTCATTTATGTGTGATACTAGGAATACATTAAAAAATTTCGTATTGATACCACAATGAGATTTTTCAAATACTTTCTTACCCAAATTTATGATTAAAGTTGAAGTTTTCAAACCCATGCAAAGATAAGGAAAAAAGAAGATGACTAAGAAAGTCAACACCCGCGAATTCCATGCATTGACTTATACATATCACCAACAATGGTGAGAAGTGAGAACGACCTTGTATATAATCTCTGCCTTTAGAACAACAAAAAAAAAAAATTAATAAAATATTGTCTATTTATTCATACTTGAAAAGAACAACAAATTTGTAATCTCTTTATACTGATAGACATTAGACAGAAGAGAAAGAGCAAAGAAAAAATGAGTTTCAAGTTCATTCTAATAACTATGCTTATACTTTTATGCATCGCATCTTCCAATTCGACCATCACTCCATTTTCTAGAAACCGAAAAATTAGTAAGTTTTTATATATAGTTTGATTCATGCATAAGTCCAAACATTGTAATGTTCAGTTAAGAAAATAATGTTCATAATCAGTTTTATATGTGTTACAAGTCGTTGAAGAAGGTGGAAAGATTCACATACACAAGGGAAAGAAGATCACAGTAAAACCCAGCCGTTCACCTCCTGCAAAAGGCACTAAAAATTACACAACATAGTTGCAATTGCTCTATATGTCAATCATTAATTTAGGGCATTTTGGCCCATTATACGAATATGTTATTCAATAGATGTAGCCATATACGTAGTGATACTTAGAAGATTCAATTGTGATTGATTTTGCTTATACCGTTGTCCTCCGGAATATACAGATCTGCATATATGATATTAAGAGCTTCTAGCCATATATGTAGATGGTTTATTTATTTTTTGCTAAATGAGTAAATATCATATAGAAACTGCATATATGATATTAAGAGCTTCTAATTGGTGCTAATGGCTTAATGCTAATCAAATCTGGTTTAAATTCCATTTTTAATCGTTTTTTTTGGATTTTCGTTTGGCATTTATATTGATTTTTTCAAAAGATATTGGTATTTAATATTCTTTTGCTTTATATTTTCATTTAAAATTATATATATATATATATATATATATATATATATATATATCACTAGGAAAGTAGTACAATATAAAAAAAATATTGGAATAAAACAAACGTGTGGTGTCACGATTAAAGAGTCCTTCTACCATATATGGAAGAGATTATCGTCTTGAGAAGATAAAATTACAATAGCAGAAAGAGTATGCTGGGAGGAAAGCGAGCAACATAGCCGGGATTACAAGTAATGACATACTGCATTGGACGTGAAAAGCGCGGTTGGGAATGCTATTAACAAGACCACAATAGTGATGAAAATATATAGTGCATTCACCCCATACCAAATTTTTGGGCTATGACATAAGCTAATCATCTAAAGAGTATCGAGCAATGGGAATGCTGAGAAATATGGGAACATAAGTACAATGAGCAAAAAAAAAAGAGGGTATCCGCGGTAATGAAAACCCAAAAACGGTAATTTAGGATATATATGAAAATGGTAAGATGGCTTGGAAAGTAGTTATTGCAATGAGAGCCGTTACAAAGTTATTTGCTTGATTGTAAAAAAGCCCAAAACAAATTGTAAATATATATTGGAATGTATATTACTATAGAAGTAAAATATGGTGAACCAAACCATACAATCAATATATATGTCCCAATTTGAATGTTGAAAAACTAAGCCTTTGATCTATACATACATAACTCATCCAATCTCTTACTCTACATATATATGCACATATGACATATTGATTGCTCGAATAATTACCTGATACATTTAACCGCAAGATAGTATATACAGGGTTGATGCACAAGAACTAATGGTATACTAATAATTTCCGAGACTCGTTCTTACCCAAAGCGGAAAGGTTTTTTAGTTTTTATGAATGTAAATAAAAATGTGAAGGACATAATGATTGAAATTATATAATAAAAAAACATTGGGCCATATATGAAACAAGGAATTCAACAATAAAGAATTGTTCTCGAACATGAAAAAAAAAGATTAGAATAATTCTCTATCAAGACATTAGTCACTAAATTTGATTACTCGATTACTAAACCTTCATTTGTAATTTCCTAGTCAAATTCGCATTATCAACAAGTTCATTTGGTTCACAATGCATTCTAATATCAACTTTCGTAATGATCAATCCTATTCTAGCATTAAGAACATGCGAATCAAAGAAACCAAGGATAGAGAATTCCTAATGACAATCAAATCATCAAACCATTGAATCTCCTACTTAGAACCCTAAACCCGAACTACTCACACACGAGATAACAAAAATCAGTGAAGAAAACATGGTGAAATTGTAGAAATAACAAGAAAAGATTTAGAAATCTTCTCCAAGTGTCAAGATGATGGATTCATTTTTTCAAAGTTGCTTACAAAACAAAGAACAAAGTTTAGAACTGAAAAATATCAAAGATAATCTGTAAAAAGTCGAGCATAAGGTTTCAAAACAATAGGAGACAAGCCGAACCAGATCTGGAGTGAATCAAGTCATATTTGGGCCAAAAATACGTCCGGGGAGGGACCGAACGATCCCAAGGAGGACCGGTCAATGAAGCAGTGTGTGGAACTGATTCTCGTCCGTTAGGGAAGGAGATTGATCAGTCCACAAACTCTCTGATACCAAACTCTGCAACTGCTTTAATTGCTCGTCATAAGGACTTATCTTGACTAAATCGGGTATAACTCTTGAATGCACCATTATATTTCCTTACAATTAATTGGAAATAAATGTTAACATCTTCATCAAGCTTGTGTCAAAAGTTCAGAAACGCCTAACACTTCTAAACTAATTTGCATCTCCAAATATGTGTCTATATCTCAAAACGGCTCGTTTTCCTCTAAAGAATTAAAAAATGTAGAATCTCAATAAAGGACTACTTTGACTCTATAAAAGATATGATATAAGACAGAAAACAATGACTCAAAACCGATAAAAACGCAATATATCACATACAACTATATAAGACGTATACATGTATAGTCATTAGAGAGGTATTAACTACTATATTAAACAATATTGGATTAGAACCAACGTGTGGTGTCACGATTGAAGAGTCCTTTACCATATGTCGAAGATATCATCGTCTTTAGAAGAGGAAATTGCAACAGCAGAAAGAGTACAGCTGGGAGGAAAGTGAGTGACATAGCCGGGATTACAAGCAATGGCATACTGTATAACGACATGAAAAGTGCGGTTGTGAATGCTACTAACAAGGCTGCAATAGAGATGAAAAGAGTGCATAAACCCCATATCAACTTTTTGGGCAGTGACATAAGGAAATCATCGAAAGAGTATCGGGCAGTGAGGATGCTGAGGAATATAAGAACAGAAGTGCAAGACGCAAAAAAGGAGAGAGTATCCGCGATAATGAAAATCATAAAACGGTCATCTCGGATATGGATAGGGTCTCCGGAGGTGTCATTGGTGCCACCGGGAACAGTGAAAATGGCTTGGAAAGTGACCGTCGCAATGAGAGCCGCGACAAAGCTATTTGCAGCCGCAGTCTCTTTCATCCACTTCTCCCCTTTGACTCGCATCTCTCTATGAGAGTTTTCGAATATTTCACGCGGCATTTGGCCATTTTTGTTTTTCCTAGCCAATTCATTATCTGGTACCATGCTCTCTATTTCCTGCACACAAATTAAAGACAAGTATTGCTTTTGTTATTTTAGTTTCAATAAACGAAATCTAGTGTTCCCATGTAAATTACGCAGCTGTCTTCAATCTTAAGATAGATCTTCGGCCTCAAGAAAAGGGTAATCACCATTCACCAGGGCGACCAGCAAAGAGAGCATACTGCTTTAGGCAACTTGTTAACACTCAAAGTATTACTACATAGCACTTAAACCTCGAAAGAATTTCACTAACACTATAAACCACCAAGATAATTTTACTAACACTTTAAGCCTCCAAACTAACTATTCTCTTTGTCTCGCCATAAAAAATGATAGAAAATTTAATTTCTATTTGTTTAATATACATTTCTTTAATTTAAGGAAAAATCACATTTTTAACTTTCAAAGTTTCACTGGGTAGCACTTTAAACCTCGGTAGAATTCCACTAACACTAGAAACCACTAAAATAATTTTAATAATACTTTAAACCTCCAAACTAGCTTTCATATTTGCACGGCCATAAAATATGATGAAATAATTAATAATAAATAGTAAAATTAATTTTTTAAAATTAACTTAAATAAATGTATATTACAAATAGAAATTGAATTTTTTATTATTATTTTTATGGCGGGACAAACAGAAAAGCTAGTTTGGAGGCTTAAAGTGTTGGTAAAATTATCTTGGTGGTTTATAGTATTAGTAAAATTCTTTCGAGATTTAAAGTGTTACCCAGTAACACTTTGAAGGTTAAAAATGTGTTTTTCTCTTTAATTTAATATAAATTTAAATTATTTTTTTTACTATTTGCTAATTTCTTTATGCTTCCTAAATATACAGACCGGCCCTGGTGATCAGTATTTGAATATTTTTTGGTGACTCACAAAAAAAAAGTTACCTTGAACCATTGGAGTTCTCTTTGCATTTGAAGAGCAGGACCCGCGACCTTAGAGAGTTCATCAAGCGGGGATATCTCTCCGGCAATATGGAGAATCCAATTGCATTTATGATCGTACCATGATATCAACATGTTCTTCCTATCATCCAAGCCATAGATGAGATCAAATATCTTCTCTTTCCTAAACTCGACAGCCAGTTGAAAGATGTTTCTCCTAGATTCACCATAATTGGTCATAAGAAGTTCCGAATTTGATTTGATCATCCCGACAATAAACTCCTTGTTTCCGTGACTCACGGCTCGAATAATTGCTTCATGGACTGCATTAGTCCAACCATCGTCTTTGTCCATGATCGAAACTTCTCTGAACATGGCTTGTAGAAAGCTTTGAGCATAACAATGATTCTCCTTTTGTTCATATATCCATTCGATTCCTATATCAAACAAACATATTGTATAAGATCTTTATACGTTGGTTCTCGTTTTTGTTTCTTTCTCTCTGTTTTTTTTTTTGTCGTCATTTAGGGATAAGGTTATCCATCTTGTCCGAAAAACAATTTTTATATGAAAATTCTAGTTATTTTATAAAATTATGATACTTTTATCAGTTTTTTATATCGTACATAGTAAACTTACCAAACCATTTGGGAAGGCTGTGAATCATCTTGTAAAGCAAATCTGAGCACGTACAAATAGAGAGAAACAATTAGAAGCTTCAAGAAATGTATACACACCTACTTTTTCTTTTATTTGTGTTAGGCGGTTGAATTTACAATTTCCAAAAGGATGTTTTTGATAAAGACATACTATATTGTAGTTTTTTCTTAAGTTAAAAGAATTTGATTGCAATCTATGTAGAAATGTTTTAAAACATGAAGATTGACATACTTTGATTTGGGTTTGAAAGTGAAGTCTTTGGATCAGTTCGTAGTTTTACTTCTATACCTGCATGCAGGCAAAAGTGGGAAATGTGGCTCTGATGACTACACACATGCATACATTATTTATGTGAACATATGAGTGTATATATAAGTATACGTACATGAGTAGATCAGGCCTTGCCAAAATGAAAGTTCACAGCCGCTTCGAAAGAAGTCAGGCTTCGATGCCAAAAGACCTAGCGGTGTTGATTCTAGACATCGATGTTGAGTCACCGCAAGACGTGGACGGACTTCAAAGATGTGTTAGGCAATATCTAACGAACGTAAGAG